CTGATCCATTTCCTTATTGATAACTGAAACAGTAAAAGTAACTCCTATCTTATCGTCTATACTCTTTGATGTGTCTGTGTAGATCTGAACATAGCTGTGGTAGGCTACTCATTAATATATGTCTGACTCTGCGCATTACATGAATTACATTCCTTATCCTTGTTTTTCTTTTCTACCCATGTAAAATCCACTGTGGCGTCTGAAAGTAACCAAGATTTTATTAGCGGGTATATTCTGGTAGTGGTATTCTTGGGCTAATTTTTAACTGATTAACTTTAAGTTCTGTTGCTTTCTGTATTACTGTCCATCCGAAGCTTTTCGTTTCCCAACAGGGCTTTAAAGTATCTTGTGTTGGATGCTCTTGACTATGGCCTTGTACATTAGCCCAGCAATTCAGTGATAACTGTATCCTTCTCATTTCTAATGACATTTCCCCCATTTCTACCTAGTGCTATAATTGGTGTAGTTTCTATAGCTCCTGTACACAGTCTCAATACCTGATGCCATACGGTCTAACTTTCTAAGAGACATATCTGCTGCTGATCCATACACCACACAACCATAATCTAATACAGATCTAATCAGCCCACTATATATGGCCCTTCATGCCATCCTATCTGCCCCCCATTCACTTCCTACTAAACACCTCATTATATTGATCACTTTCTTACATTTGTCCAATATTTTCTGGAGATGCATTACCCATGTAATTCTTTCGTCAAACCACAACCCTAAAAACTTAACCTTAAAAACATTCTTGATGATATAATTTTAGATTTACCTCACCTCCATTTTTGTTCCTTGTAAAAAACATTATCTTTGTCTTGTCAACTGAGAATTTAAAACCCCATCTATATGACCATTCTTCAACTATTGTAATAGTCTCCTGTCATTTTTTAACAATAAAATCAATGTTCCTTCCCCTTTTCAAGATTGCCCCATCATCAGCAAAAAGTGAGAACCCCAGCCCATTCTCCAAATCCTCAAATACATCATTTATCATTATAGAAAATAATAAAGGACTCACTATACTTGCTTGTGGAGTTCCATTTTCGATCATAAACTTTTCTGAATAACAGTTTCCTATACTAACTTGTATTGCTCTCCCTAATAAAAAATCCTTGATACATCTATACATTTGACCTTTAATACCCAACTTGCCTAATTTGATTAACCCTCCCCCAATATCCTACTCTCTATCTGTGCGGATCCCATCATACCCTTTAATACTAAAATCTAAAACTGGCTTAAGCCAGGTTTCCTGAATACATATGATTTCTGGTTTCTTTCTAAGCCCTTTTATAAATCCTTTAAACTCTTGACCGTTAGCTAACAGACTTCTTGCATTCCATTGTACATTTCAAGTTGACTTATCACCTGCACCTCCTGGTCTTTTTAAAAATATTTTCCCAAGATATATTGTCTATACCCAAAAACCTTTCAGCTCCTTTCACAATTATTTTTTTGTTTGACTTAGTCTGTACAATTAATTACATAAGCAATCAACAAAACCCCATTCATTGTTTTTTGCATCCCCTCCAGAAATACTTTGTATGAGTTTTTCTAGATCTTCCTCGATTGGAATGCCTGGTATCACTCCCCGTTTCCTTTTTCTCTCACCAATCGTTCTTTCATTCACTATTTTCTTGCACACATTGTACATTTTTAACGCTTTTTTTTTTTTTTTTTTGTTCTTCTGTTTTACATATTATTAGCAGGCTTCCATCTCTCAAAATCTTAGCCATATCCACTTCTAACTTTTTCTTCAATTATTTAGACAACGCTATTGGACTAAGATTAACATGCTCATCTTCCTTTCTGAATTTAAGCATTATTTTAAATTCCTCTCTAAATCTTTTTGCGGACAACCATTATCTTCATCTGAGCTGTTTCCTTCTAATCCCCGTTTACTGGATTGGCTTGCTACCAGATTCCCTTCATTTCATCCATTTTTCTCTTTTCTTGTCCTTTCCCTCTACCTACAGTACTAAATTCCAATCATCAAACTCCATCTCATCTTCATTAACTACATCAGAAGTCATCTCAATCCAGTCACCGTTAAGACGATAAGATAGGAGTTGCTTTTACTGTTTCAGTTATCAATAAGGAAAAGGATCAGTGATGAGTTAAATATTGTTCATATTTCCTTCAGTGATTCTGCTTGTTAACAGTAGGTATCATCAATTATGGTCAATCATCACTTAATTATTTAATTAACTTCAACACCGCTTCGGTGTTACTTTTTAACACTCTAGAGTGGACACAAACACCCAGCAGTGTTAATTTAACACCACAGATTTTGCTGTGATGTACATAACAACACATTATAAAACATAAATGAGAATAGAAAAAAATCTATTTTTTATAAATTAAAGATACATGCATCTAATATTTGTTATTATATGATATGCAATAATGAATTTCATTAACGACATGCGTTTCATACCTTCGTGCCAGGTGTTAGGCAGTCCTTTCTCAGTCTGCAATTGTGAATCTCCCACTTTAACATGCTTATATACTGAACCTAGAGAGCCTGTTGGTCAGGGCAAGTCAAGAGTTGTGCTGGTCTTGGCATTGTGCCTTAAGGAGGGTTGGACGGTAACAGCCTGACCACAGTTTCAAATGTCATAATCTTACACCCATACTGGAATCTTCAAACACCCGCATCTGTAAAACACTTACAGTTTGATGAATCGAAAGAAACACCATAACCACACCTCACCTCAAAGGTTATATGATAGATCTAGATCTGTATTTATTATTACTCTTTAACAAAATTGTCAATGAATGTATTAGATTAGAAAACTTTATTAATCCCCATAAGGGGAAACTCATTTGCCACCATTGCACATTACAAACACAAATAGACAATTGAACATTAAAAAACAACAACAGTCAAAACATGCAAAGAATTAAACAACTTCATTAAAAAACCTTCTAAATCGCTCTGTAGAACACTGAGACAATTTACTAATCTTCCACTAAATTAACTTTTAAGTTCAATAAATATACAGTGTAGCGGAGGACCTTTGGATGGATTAATTATATGACTTATTCCAATGAATTCATAAAAAATATGATAATAGCACTTGTGAATGTTTTGATTTGACAGTTTTTATTCCACTCATTCATGTATTTACTCTACATTATATTGCAAATTTGCCATGGTTGATTATATTAACTACAGCCAGGCTATGATCCTATTGTGTTGAATAAATCTCAGTGTGCAGTGTTTCTGTTCATTCTAAAGCTTTTAGGACTCAGTTTGAATTGGATTTAAGATTATTGTTTTAAATAAGTTTTAGGTTTGCATAATATGATATAGTGTTTAGTCTTGAGGAAATGTGTTATTGTTTCCAGTAAATGTGTCTTAGCATTGGGGAAAAGAGTACACTCTTCTATTACCACACTCCTCACGCGATTTCCATAAGTTACAAATCCACATGAGTAATACAAAATCGCCCTTCTTCTTTCTTTTTAAAAGCTCTTCAATGTAAGTGAAACATCAAACTGTCTCGCAGAAATTGCATGTACGTCATAATGCAATGTTTAGTTTTGTTTTGAGATTGATGGTGATCTACATCCTATATACAAGGAACAATTAATATTACATTTCTGTACATTACATACATATTTAGAAAATCACATAATTATCTGATTGTTTCCAAATAATAAAGCTGCTAGTTTGCAGGTTAACTGCAAAAATATTATAATCATAAAGCAATCAGTGGGTTCCCATTATCTGTCCTCATCCTATTATCACTTTCATTATGCACAGCTTGGCTAAAAGGAACAATGGGACATATTGCAGCAAATGGACTGTACATGTGCCTGATTCACGCAAATTGATGTCATTGCTATTAAAACTTGAAATGATCTAACTACTTTCGATTTTGCATTATGCAATGAAGTTTCCATCCAATTGTTTAGCAACTAATGAATGTCACACACAGCAACCATATCACAGGATTCGACAAGCAAGAGTGCAATGCAGGTCATCTGATTCATAATCAACTCCTGAATTTACATTTAAACACACATTAAACACAGAAACATACTGATGACTAGTTTTGTTTTGATAACGCATTCACATTTCTGTTGCATTTTCTACTTTACTGTCTTTTATATCACCTTAACAAACTGTGTTATGATGATAACAGAATAACTTACTATTATAACAAAATAACGTCATTATCCGGAACATTTTACCTGTCATAAACACACATTTTTACAACCCAGCTTCCAGTAGCTAGCAATAAATTCAATTATTTGTCTGGGAAGGAGAAAGATAAAATGTATTCCTGGACAATGATTTCCATTACATAATCTATCATGCATTTGATATACTAAACGAGTTACTCCAATTCTTCCTCATTACCCACAATATCAGAAAAGTTTACATATCCAGGTGTTACAAAACAGATGATCATGTTCATAAACACCTTACCTGCTTTGTCACGAGAACAAAATGATTTTTTACAAAGATCAAATTGATCCCACTGCAATGCCTATTTACTTTTTCACATTAATAAATTGATCAGTTAGTAAATTCTTTAATTGCTTTAAAGGGGTTTGCCAACTATGGTTAACTCAAACTAATTTTTTGGTGGGGAAAAAAATTCTAAGTAGACAAATGTAACATTAAATAATACATTTATTAACACAAAAAAACAATATTAAGTTAACTTGCGAGCATATGACTTATATCCATCAATCATTTTAATGGCTTTGCAAAGGAAGCACAACCCAAAGACCCAGAATCTACCTACATTTACGGTCAGGAGCCGCTACTGATCCAAAGTGAATAAATCTAAGGCCGATCTAAGGGTGTGGGCCTTGTTTTATTGTCTTTATAATAAACATCACGGTTTCAGAACATAACAGGATGCTTTTAAAGACTCTTATAAAAACTTATCAAGTAAAAACCAGCCAAATGTTATACTTTTATGACTATTTGGTGATTACAATCTGTGGGTATGATTTCAGTTTCATTTGTTGTTGTTGTATGTTTAGCAGCAAGTCTGTAGGCTAAATGACCTTTGTCAGCTTCATGCTGTATACTTTCCATGGTGATCACTTCTTTTTAGTGTACTAGGAAAGAAGATAAAAACAGTAAAATCAAATGTGAATCAAATAATGACGATTCGTATTTTCTCTGGTGCCAAAAAAAGCGCGTACTTTAGTTAAAATCCAGTCAGCGTCGGATATAGCTCTTTGAATGATCATCTGAATCCTTTCTGGATCATCCTCATCCGCATGACTGTTGTAGCTCTGAAATAAAAGAAAGTCACATTGACACCTGACAGCAGAACAATCTCCTGACTCCTGCACATATACTTGGGTAACGTTTTATTTCTTGGGTTATATACTGCTTGTATTCTAATTGCAGTCTGATAGGTAGCTCGGTTTGAAGTTTATAAAAGTACCTGTCTGATGGCGTGTTGGTAGTGTTTTTGCATGGCTGCTGATGGCAGGAGTTTGCAGCAGCGCAGCAGAAAGCGGTAAAGCTGCACCGGCGTGCGGATCAGATCAGGCATGAGGAGGGTCTGTGTTCTGCTGGCACTTTCACTTTTTTCAAAGTTTGATTGCGAAGTCTACCACTACAATAACATTGAGTATATCTGGCCTATTTCGAGTTGTAACTATATAATAAGACGTATAACACTCGTCACATGCACATAGTTTGAAATGTAAAGGTGAAAGATACACATAACAGAGGAACCACTTCCTCATCGACTTCTAACCTGAAGTTATTTCATAATAAAAGTCATCGCTCTTCTGTTGAAGATCATTATAGTCTGTTCAGTAAAATAATGCTGATTATTTTTCAAACATTTCTGGGTGGATTACATAATCAGACTCCAAAAAATAAGTACTACCTCACTACAGTTACTTTTTTATTGATTACATGATTACAAATTATTAACACAATATAATTAATAATTTTGATGGATCTGAAAAGGGTGAATTTGTTTTCATGTTTAGAATGTTCCTTTCTATAAAAAGCATATCTCTTATTATGTGCATTCAGAAAGTCTTCTAGTTTTGTGAAATTGTCTTTTGAACACATTTTTATTATTTTAATTTAAAATTGTGATTTATTTAATTCGCCTAACAATTAGCCTTTCTTTAAAAATAAATAAACTAACAAACCCCCTGCAATTTCTTCACGCACCCCAGTTTGGGAAAGCCTGATGTAATGTAATGTTTAATGCACTTCATGTTGTTTTTAAATATATCCAGAATGTAATATATTTTCTTTCTCTTTGTATTTTTATATTGTATTTAATATGGCTACATGGTATCCTATTTATTCCAATGTGATAAATGAGTTAGGTTAAAAGTAATCTAAAAGTAACTATTGTTCTGTCTTATTACACAAATGTAAATAAATATTAAAACATTTAAAACAGGACGTATAGTTGTATGATTTTCTTTTTAAGTTAAGTGCAGGCTGAAAATTTGTGCACGCAGACATTGTTCAAAATGACAACATCTCGGAAAATCACTGTCAATTTTGCAATGTAGGCAAAATTCATAATTCATAGAAATAGAGGTTGAGGTTCCTCTTTGATACTCTTTCTGTCTTAATGTAATTCATGACCAAAGACCAACAAGCATACGTAGCATTCAAAATATTTTGTACATCTCCTTATTATTTTTATTAAAAAAATAAAAGTTATTTCTTGTAAGATCAATGAAGTTATTACTGATTTTTTTTATATTTATAAAACCTAGTGTATTTATCCTGTGTTTGTCTTGATTTGAACTTTGAATGAAGTGAAAGGTGCTGAGAACCTGTTGTCCTATTGTTTGCACGTCCAGTCAATACAGCGTCCATGGCGGCCCACAATCCCCTCATTTCACCTGGAGATGCCAGTGAAAGCGCTTATTGTTTAAAAAAGAAAAGCCCCAGCAGCATCAAAGTCATTCTTATAGTGTGTGTGTGTGTACTTGCGCATATGAAGAATTCCCCATGCATCAGCGATAACATTTTGTGAGGTTTCAAGATATTAAACCAAAAAGTCAAACATATCTCATAATAAGACATTAGAGTCTATAATCCTGACCTTATAACAAAAGACAGTCTGTTAAGACTGCTTTTGATGCTTTTTTGTAGATAAATGACCCAGCAAACTTTCCAAAAAATGTCATAAACAACAAGTGATTAATATTAGTCATGGTTTATGAATCCACACATCTTTACACTGTGCCTTTATACTGACTAACTTTGTCTTCTCATATCATAGCTGTTATATTTGATGCTTAGAAGGCAATACACTACTATAGCATTGAGGCCTGGTTTCACAGACAGGGCTTAGATTAAGCCAGGATTAGGCCTTAGTTGCAGTTAAAGTAGCTTTTAAAAAAGTGCCCTAACATCATTTCTGATGTTCATCTTGAGATAAAACAATGGCACTGACTGACATATTTTAAGATATGTCAGTGCAAATTGCTTTCAGCTCAAACATGCATTTTAGTCTGGGACTACTGTTGGAATGTGTGAATGAGCGTGAGGGACAAGTATAAATGATGTGTAGTAAAATAAAAGAAATAGTAAAAGAAAACAATTGTTTCAAGATATTAATCTTACAGATTATGGTAGTATGAAATAAGTTAAAATAATAAAATATATATGTAATAAATACATGTAAGGATATATATAATATATTACCGTAATAGATAAATATAAATAAGATTGCACGTGCTTAAAATATTATATATAATATCTGAAGACGTCTAAAATTTGTATCTCATTATCCATGAAGACAAAGTGAGAAAAATTATTCCATTGTAGATAATTAAGTTTGTGCTAAGAAAAATAACTTTTTGTGTGCTGAAAGAGAGCAAGATTGGGTGACTAAGTTTCAACAGTCAAAAATAATTTACAGCAATCTTAGAATTGTAGTAAATGGGAATTGTTGATTCAATTAAAAAGATAAAAGGAATTCCTGGTTGAGGAAAATGTACACCATGTTAGATTATTTTGAACACAGCATGCAAATATAGAAGAGAGACTGAAGAAAATTATTTAATTGGATTATATTCAGATAGTCAAAGTTAGATTATCACTGCATATTGTAATGAAGAAATAGCTTCCTTTTTCCAGCAATGAAGATCTTGCTTTACTAAAAATATAATGAGGGAACTGCTGTTGTCAACCAGTGATTATTATATAGTATAAAATAACTAGGAAAAAGATGGTTAAAAATGGAATTTAGATAAAGAGCTAATTGCTCAGGAACAAATATTTATAAAGTTAATTTGATTCATGCAGTTCTCTGAGTGTTCAAATTTCAGATGGCTTCAGTGTCGAATGGAAGAGGTGAAAGGGCAGAGACACGACAGAGAGAAGACATGACTGCAGAAAGAAGAAGAAGTGGGTGAGGGGCTTTCAGCTCCCATCCTGAAGTTGACCATGTTATGGAATTTTTCTATTATTACTCTGATTTCAGTGATTCCTAATGATGGCCTCATCTGTTCTCACGAATGTAGTGAGAGGGGGCCTTTGGGTGATCATTTACTGTGGTTGGGAGTCAGTGGAGGTAAGGAAAAGCAGGTGGTCAAGGGGTCATCTTGAGTGCATTTGTACGTTATAGCCTAAAGAGTTAAGGGGGCATTTACCTCTCAGGGCCAGGGAGAAATAGAAACAAACAAAGTATATCTCTCCTGTGAGGGGAGGGCAGAAATAAGGCCTTGGAGGACACAAGATATAAAAAAGACAGACACTGCTTCTCTTTATCTCTCCTCACTGACTCACGAATGTGTATTGGTGACGAAGATCTCTCTTGCAAGAGAATAAATACTTTATAAACTATTAAATTGGACTCAGAGTGTCTCTTACTCAGTGATGATGTTTGTTGGAAAGGAAAAGCCACAACAATTTGGTGTCAGAAGAGTGGGATTCCTTGGAAGTGCCTTCTGGACCTGAGAGCGAGCGGTGTTTGGCCACCTGGACTGAGCAGTTCCAGCTCTACCTCGTAAGCTTGAGAGAGAGGGGCCGACCGCTATCGGGTCCGGGAGGGGCTCCACTGGAATCAAAAGGAAGCGAACCCGTGGCAGCCAACATATCTCTGGTAAGAGACGTCTAAAATATTTTCTTTTGGGGATTTTGTTTCGGGTATGAAATGTGAGTGAACCATATTGGCTGAGGGCTGTTTCTGTTGTACGTAATCTGAGATTAATTGAGATCTATATATAGATCAAGAGGTTTCAAACAGATACGAGAGAAAATTATCTGAGATTAATTGAGGTCTGTAACAGATCAAGAGATTTCAAACAGATAGGTACCCTGAAAATTGGTTGTTCCACGACGGAGGAACTTGTTTTTAGGTACTGAGGCTAATTAGGGGGAACCAGAACAGTTTTTGGTAAACCATAATTAGGAGGGCACTAATAGTGCAACCCGACCGATTTGGGTTAAAAGGAAAAATCGGGTCTGTTGGGGACGCCTAACAGATCAGGAAAACGCGTGTTGAAGAGAAATCCACAGAGAACAGAGAAGCAGCCAATATGGGGAAGTCTCAAGGTAAGCATGCAAATTTGATACACCGGTTTTCTATCAAATGAGAAAATTATGGGGGAAAATTTATGTTTTAGATATTGAAAAACTGAGAAAATACCATGATTTCCCCAGGGAGGGAACACTGAGCACAACTAGACTGAAAGTAGTGCGAGAATCAGTTGAACAGGGCAGTGAGAAACAAAAAGGTTGTTATGGCTGTGTTCAACGTGTGTAAGCAATGTGGACAAACAATGGATTGTTGTCTTAAAGGGGCAGATAAAAAAAAAGTCGAACTGCCGAGAGAAATAAGGTTTTTACTTCTTCATCCAGGAAATGGATGCATGACATTAGATGTCTAGAGAACTTAAATTTATATGATACGGATTGAAGTAGCAAGCAGCAATAAGGCTGTCTGTGTGAAATAGGGGATTGTAATTTGATATTTTGGTTTCTGCAAAACAGTAAAGATAAGTGGGACTGAGACAATACGGATACTATATTTTTTGGGATCTAAGACTAACCATTTGATAAACGAATACTGTGAGAAGTAGTTATAATGAAAAAAATTAAGTTAAAATTAATGTTATCAAAACAAGGGAAAGATTGGAAATTCAAGTGTCACTATGACGGGTGAGAGACTTGATGGAAGAGGGAAGTGAAAAAAAAACAACAAGAAGGTTGGTGTGTGAGATATGTTTGTGTGGGGATTGTGCAAACAATCATGTACTGGTTAGATAATGAAGGAACTGGCATGTAGGGAAAAGAAAGGAGAAATATAGTAGAAAACTATATGTGATGAAAATAGACATGGTCTGACAGAATTTATGGAAGTCAAATTAACTGTTTAAATGATATGAAAAGTTTTAGAATAAATTAAGGCATTGTATGATTGACAGGGATTAACATGATATGAAGAATGTTTTAAGCAGAATGGGGAACAATTCTAGATTTTGATAAAATAATGATTGAAATGATGATATATCTGCTTTATTTTATTAATGTTAAGAAAATAAGGGTATTGAAGCAAGTAGCTATAATGGTTGTCTGTGTAATTTACGGACTGAGTAATATAATCTGTTTTGGAGAAACAGTAGAGATAAGACTGAGACAATAATGATAATATTAAGTTGAATCTGCAGACTAACCATGTGATGGAAGAAAAAAGGCTTCAAACCAGTTGTAATGAAAATAATGATGTACAAATTGTTACACTTTATGAAGAGTAACTGA